CATCAGGGAATTCCAGGCGACAGATGGGAGCACAAGAGCACCATTCCCTCTTTCTCTGCGGTAGTCTTTTCTATTATCGGGTCATGGGCAATAGCAGCTGTTGCATTTAGGGCCCTCTATTCGTTGTATGTCGCAGGTGCAACGGGTTCTCCAAATTTCTGCAGATACTAGAAGACAAAAGTGGAGCATGGGTTCTTTAAAAATAACGGAAACAAATGCATGAGATTTTCAAGATCGTAAGCGCAAATCCTAGGAACACATTTCCATATTAAAGATCTAAATTGAAACATACACGGGAGAATGGCTTGAAAATTTGTGCAAAATAAGAAAAGAGTAAAAAGCAGTTTAAAATACAAAAGAGATAGCACTTTATCGTTTCAAGACAAACGCCCCATTGTCCTAAAGCAGGAGTCTTCAGCTTTTAAGACGTGAGGAATATTTACCCCTTCTCTTTGACTTACCGGCGGCAGGATTATATAACATGGCAATTTATTTAAACTTAATTACAATTTATTAATGGAAGGCTAATATAATTTATACCATCACTTTCTCAGGCACATTTTTTAATTTACCGCTTTTAGGGGTTCGTTACAGCCGGTCACGGTAGCCGAGCGGTCTAAGGCATGTACTGTCTTCGCTCGCTTGGAAACCGTGATCATGGGTTCGAATCCCACTCTGGGTATGCATGTTTAGTTTGTGTGTGTGCGTTGTTCTGTGTTTGTGTACAGGTAGAGGACTTGCCTAGGCCCACTGGGGCTGTAGTGCCGAGGGAAAAAGGGAGGGGGGGTTCGTTACAAAGTGACGAAGAAGATTCAATCGTTCCGCTTTTTAACTTCGGAGGATGATTTTGACTTGATTTCTGGCTTTGGTTTTTAGTATAAGGCGATTTTTTTAAAGTTTTATTGACATGTTACCTTTTAATATCTCTGAAATGACGGGTCAAGCAGTCCCTTCGCTACTTTCTACCTTATTCCTCACATTGAGTTCATGTTTGTCCGTCTGACCGTGACTCAACATCAGGGTTTAATCTTTGGACAAGTTTTGTTAAAATTCGATATAAGAGACGTTCACCAACAATTGTTTGACAATTCAGATTTTTAACCACATTCGTCCATAGTAAAGTCCAGTGTACACTAGACAATAAATGAACTCTTATCCTCCAAATTTTCATCAATTTTTTATTAAATTCGACATCGGATATTGCATAAAGTTTTGGGGAAATCCTGATTTTTGTTCATATTCATGAGTATTTCACACACACATACGCACGCACGCGCACAATGTCGAATAGTTCCAATGTTCGGTCATATTTATCTGTAATACGGCGTAGTTTGCATAAAGACTATGAAGTGACATCTCTATGTAGCCCATAAAACCTTCAGCATATTTTGTTGCGCTCCGTCGTGTGGATTTTCTCTAATTTTTCTTCAGTATTCCTATTTTTAAGAAAAATTTATTATTAATATCAAAAAGTCTCTTTGATAATGTTGTGTACTGTGTTGTAGAGAACATTATTATGGTCTCTCTTCCTCTGTTTCTATCACAGTTACTTTCAGGCTTGGACTGGCCTACATCAGGCCAGATTTTATGGGCACTTTTACTGTGAGTTAAGAAATGAACTTTAAATGCAGATGCTGATGTAGTTCACATGTTCCAAGTTGCTACTGTAATTCTCTCATGCGCCAGTTCGGATTCAAATTCATCAGGCATTAGAAGTCTACAGATTAATCCTTTTCTTTTTAAATTATGAACTAGCAATTCAAGAGGAAACAAAACACATCTTCCCATGTCAGCAATGGTTTGTAAAACTTACTGCCTAACCAAATTATTCTCTTGAACGCCTAGGCTACTGAACACTGCAGAAACCGTGGATAATTTCCGTTGAAGAAACTGACTGCTGTCAGATTCACGTGTCCCCTTTCTTTTTCCTCTTTCTGTTTTCGCTTGGAAGAGAAAATTCCGTATGTTGGAATCTTCTAATTTCGCGGTCGTAATATAAAATCATTAACGTTATAAAAATATATTAGAATTTGAATATCCCGGGTCAATGAGAAATGCCACGAAAATGAATACAAGAAAACACTGACTTCAAGGAATATTTATGGTTGTATATTATTTCTTGTGCTTTCCGAAACCCTAATCGTTAATTTATAAAAATAATTGTTACCTCTTTGTTTTTTTGTGATTTTGTGAATTTCTTCTTCACCATGAGCAAATAAACAGATTTACAAGGAATTGTAAACAACTCACTTGGACTTGGGGAAACGAATGATTGTGGAACGTAGTTATTTTCAATGATCTTCCGTTGTTTATAGTCGTTTTACCGGTAATGTAAAAATAATCGTATATAGCAAGTTATGAGGAATGGAAGCATAAGAAGGTTAGAGAAAAATACATTTTCATTCAGCTTTATTTCGAAAGGGGCTATTTAGAAATGTTTAGGTTCAGATGAGACGATAATATTAAAATGAATAATGAGAACCAAACTGTATTAGGTGCGGATTCTCTGGCACAATTGCTTTGCTGTCACAAACATTACAATTTCAAGAACTATTGCCGGAGTCACGTTAGTCCTGACGTCACACAATTCCTGGTAATAACAGTGTAACGGATTGATGAACACGATGCTCCTGTAACCTGCCATGTCCACCGGGATCAGCTCTTTCTATACGATAATCGTGAGCCATGATACCCGATAGGGTCAAATACCTTTCTAGGGTTTAGTTTGTACTTGCACAATAGGCACGTAATAGAACTGCCGGCTGTATCAGTCATTATGATACTAATATTTAGTGTTCAGTGGATATAAATGGCTACCGTACGTAAGCGGTGATTAATAACAGTATCTTCAATGTGAAACAGATGAAAACAATGAGGAGTGATGTAGGATTTATCGTACGGCTGGGCATTCCCGTTGCTTAATGATGACAAAAGCAGACTTAATTCAGTATAGAGGTGTGGCAGACACAGTGTAATGTTACACGCGATGACAGTAAGGCTTAAAGTAGCTGAATGCAAGAGAATGAAATGCAAATTAGTCAGGCAATGATGAAAAGGTGTTCAATTATGTGTTTAGTGTGAAGGGGTTCTGAATAGGGCGCTCTTTCTAACCGATCATAATACAAATTTGTGAAATCATACTTCAAGTGACTTCTATTAATGTGATTATTTCATGAATAACTCGTGACATGTCATATTATATCTTTCGACAAATATATAATACTCTGTGTCGCGATTTCTGAAATTGACCTTCGTACTTATCCACGAATTTAATTTATATACACTTTTGAGGAATACAAACAAAAGCAAACTCCGTGGTTTTAGTCCGCAAGCGAACTATACCGACCGAGCCACCACCGCTTGTCGGCGAAGTTAGTGCCAACTTTAGCGGATAGAGGGTGTCGCGTGGTCGGAGCAAAGGATCCACACGGCCGTTAATCTCGGGTTTCTAGCTATATCGGCCTAATTTACTAGTATATCTATTGTTATACATGCAGCGAACTCAGTGAATAGCTGAGCGACTGTAAGCTTTTCAAGGAGGTCGAAACTGAAGGATTTGGAAATGGTTGTAACATGCTGAATTACAGAAATAGACTTGAAAGGATTCTGACGATGGTGTATGCTGTATAGAGTTTAATGGATTTTGTTATTATCCGATAGTCCAAATAACATAGGGTTTCGGAAACTAGATTTCTTTCCACCTTCAGGTGAAATATGGGGGAGACACTTTGTGGGGTCCGTCACAAATGTACAATTAGTTTTTTCTATTCTCATTTAATACGAAATATGTAAGTATACTACAACATGCTTCCCTCATTCATGTCATTATTTTTATTATTATTAGAATAATATTAGTAATTTAATTAAAATTTTGCCTTAAATAACATAGCACTTCGGATACATGTCATAAGAATTTAATGTCTATTGGACTATTGGGGTTCAGGATAGCATAGCCGGTATAGCGACTGGTTACGTGGCTGGAGAACCGAGGGCTAGGATTTCGATTCTTGGTAGGATCAAGGATTTTCTCTTTCCGCTTTGTCAAGACCGGCTCTGGGGCCCACCCAGCTTCTTATTAAATGGGTACCGGAGATTCATTCCCCGGGGTTTAAAGTGGCAAGGGCTTGAAGCTGACTACTCACCTCCAACTAGTACCAAGGTCAATAAACTAGGGCAATATATATCCACTCCCCCATACGCCTTCATGGCGTAGTGCTTAATTAGTTAAGCACAGGGACAATTTTACCTTTTTACTTAATAGGCTATTATCAACATTTATGTTTTCACCAATAGAACTTTATCATAATTTTAGAAATAAATGAAAACAAATTAACAGTTTCTTTAATAGTATATCTGAACATTGGAAATTGGATTGTCAGCTATTTTATTGAGAAATATTTAAAATTAATTGAGAAAAAGTCTTATAATACCTTGTATTGAGTCAGATAAATATATTTTTCAAGATTTTTTTAAGTGTTTTAGTGAAACGTATAGAATACGGTATAAATAGATGAGGACAGAACGGAAAATACTTTCTTGTAACAGAATAATAGAAGAGGACGTGGAGAAACGGAAGGAGCATTCTATGGCTTGTGAAATATACGGAAAAAGAGATAGGGGAACATTGAGGAAAAAGTAGATTAAATCATAAATGAGGCCGGAAGAAGCTAATATAATCCCTGGAGTGAAACATGCTAGCTATGTTAGAGTATTTTATGTGGACGGGAAAACTTGCTTGTGGACACTGCATATTCTGATATGGAACATGAAAGGTATTCATCATCCTAGTAACTGGTATCAGAGCATCACGTTTTTAGCTTAAAAGCCAACACAAACAAGTCTGTCGGTCTTTAGAAATGTGATTAGAACGCTTTCATTTCTTATTAACCACTGCTAAGATACATACAAGTTTAAAGTCAAACATTGACTTTCAAATAATCTGGAGCTAGCTTTAATTTCTTGCATCTGTAATCATTTCAATACTCATATTCACAACTTACGCTTAAATGTTGCAGATATCAGACCAAGGAGTACAGGTCTGCTTGTCCTCTTGAATTTGTTGTGAATTTTCTTGCTTTTCTTGGGTCTCCTCAAGTTTTCCTTACTCTAAGCCACTGTATTCATCTTTCTGCTATTGGTACCGGGCGGTCAGTGTCTGAAACAATTTGTCTTATCCTACTGACTCCAAATTTGGTTCACCGATTATTGATACCGTTTGTAGTAGTAACCCGTTCAGTATTTTATAGCTGTTGAAGGGATTTCGAAAATCGTATTCAAAATTCGACTGAAGTCATTACAGAAGCACCGTATCATACAAATCGCATAATTTCACGCGATGTAGGAAGTGATCAATATTAATATTTCCACAATATATACAACTTGTTAAATTAAATAATTTATTGCTCATGACAGTAAACATACTGCCTTCATTCTTCTATGTAATATAAAATTCACGCTTCTCTTCAGTAAAATACAAAATACTCGAAATAATACTAACATAAAAATAAATTCCTTTATAGCACGTAATTACATTTATCTGAATAAATTTTAACTGACTAATATAATCCAAGCAGTAATTGTTGTAAATAAGGTTATAAATTTAAACAACAAATCTCTTACTCATTTCTTCCTAAATTGTGATAACGAATAAACAATGGAGAGTAAACTGCTAATTTAAATACGAACTATCAAGTAAATAACACAGGTTCCTTGAATATATACGCATTTCTCACTAAAATATTCATACCAATTTTAAACACTATATTGCAATATTCGGCCATTACTTTAGCTACGTAACACGGCACAATTGTACAGTTTTCTTTTTTTAAGTACTGTTAGAGTGTCTAAAATATGTGTGCACATTTTTGTACAGTATATCTATAGACGTACTGAAGATGAAGCAAAAATATATTGTGCTTTGAAGTGTGTGGCATGCACTTAACAGGTAGCGTTATTTGCAGTTAAAAACTGCACTTATTCACTATTCACATTTCAACATAGGCATGACTTTCAAATAATATGTTAAATTTTAGTTATGTTTGTGAACTGCTGTAACACCATAGGAGAATTTCCCCCACTCGTTGATGAGCTAAGTTTAAAATATCGTTGCTTGTACGCGCCTTGCAAACTGGCATAGGTCTCACATTTATCATGAATTCTTGGAATTGTTAGACGCGTTGCAGGCTCAGTTACAAATTCACTTCTTCACTGTCTTCGCAGACATTCTCGAATTTCCAGCACAACTTCAGAATTAACTTGCGTCCTCGAATATAAAGCCAATCCCCACCATTTCACATTATGTTCTGGATGGCAGATAAGGTATTTCAGTTTTCACTTTCGACTAACGCCATCTGTTAAGCGCATACCACACTACTTACACGCACATTAACTTTTGGTTCCACATGAGTGAATGTATATAATTCATAAAAATATTTGTATGTATGTACAATATGTATTTATATTACTTACTTACTTACTCATGGAGCTGAGCCCTTCTGGAGGAGCCGCTAATTCTGCAGCTACTCAAAAATTTCCCACCATTTTATGGGACCCGAAGGTTCATTACCGTGTTCACAAGAACCCTCCACTGGTTCCTATTCTGAGCCAGATCAATCCAATCCATACCATCCCATCCTATTTCTCTAAGATCCATTTTAATATTGTCCACCCACCTACGCGTTGGTGTTCCCAGTGGTCTCTTTCCTTCTGGCTTTCCCACCAATATCCTATATGCATTCCTCGTCTCCCACATTCGTGTTACATGACCTACCCACCTCATCTCCATTGTCGTGATCATTCTAATTATACTTGGAGAAGAGTACAAGTTATGAAGCTCCTCATTATGCAGTTTTCTCGAACTTTCTGTCACTCCATCTCTCTTCGTTCTAAATATTCTCCTCGACACCCTGTTCTCAAACACCCTCAGTCTGTGTTCCTCCCTTAATGTCAGAGACAAAGTTTCACACCCATACAGAACCACAGGCAAAATTATAATTTTGTATATTCTAATTTTTATGTTTTTGGACAGCAAACGAGAAGACAAAAGGTTCTGGACTGAATGGTAGCAAGTATTACCCGAGCTCAATCTCATATTAATTTCCTCCTGAATCAGGTTTCGATCTGTTATCGTTGTTCCCAAATATCTGAACTGTGCCACATTTTCAAAACATCTGTTTCCTATCTTTATGTCATGATCTTGCCCTAAATTTTGATGACTAATTAAGTCCATCGAGCTGAACCCTTCTTGAGAAGCCACCAATTCCACAGCTAATCAAGAACTTCCCAGTATTTTATGTTACCCGAAGGTTCATTACCGTGTTCACAATACTCGTAGACCTCCACTGGTCCCTATCCTCAGCATTGAAAATCCAATTCTATTCAATAACCGAGAGAAGCATTTCTGCCACCTATTCCAAATATTGTGGGAATCTTCAAGCAGATCACCATTCTCATCCTTCACTAGGTTACGCCTAGGTTAGTAACCCCTTTTAAAGTCAATTATTCCTCTGCGCCTGTATCTAATATTCTTGTTCTTACTGTCCTTTGATAGCTTATCAATTTTTCCTTTCAGATATTCCCCCTTTTTGTTCATGAAGTGCTCGCTGGCTTCACGTCTTCTATTGTTAAGATTATCCCCATTTATTTCTCTTCTATCCTGTAACTGCTGAAATTTATCTAAAAATCTGACATCCTTCGTCGAACCGTGGGTTATGCTTCTTCAATTCATAATAATTGGCTGAATTTTTTTATATTGTACGAGGGTAAGTCAATAAGTAAGTTACAAATGGATGTAGAACTTAAAAAAAATAAGAGTATTGATTTGAAAAATGCTTTCATTTCTCAACATAATCTCCCTGTACATTGAGGCACTTGTCCCGTCGTTTTACAAGCCCCTGAAAACAAACAGCAAAATTCTTTGGGCTGCTGTCGGAACCAGGCTGTGACTTCCTTTTCTACAGTTTCACCGTCAGGAAAATGTTCAGCCTAAAGATGGTGTTTAAGAGGGCCGAACAATTTGAAGTCGCTTGGAGCAAGGTCGGGGCTATACGGAGGATGCTCGAGGACTTCCCACTTGAAATTTCGCAGCGTCTCATTTGTCTTGTTGGCAGTACGGGGACGCGCGTTGTCATGCAAGAGCAACACGCCTATGGTGAGGAGTCCTGGTCTCTTCCATTGAATGGCCTTACGAAATTTCCTGAGGATGTTACAGTAGGAGTCGTCATTTACGGTTTGTCCTTGAGGCTGGAATGCGGTGAGCAGTATGCCTTCATGATCCCAGTCACTGCCTGGTTCCGACAGCAGCCCAAAGAATTTTATGCTGCTGGTTTTCAGGTGCTTGTGAAACGATGGGACGAGTGCCTCTAGGTATAGGGAGATTATATTGAGAAATAAAAGCATTTTTCAAAGCAGTACTCTTATTTGTTTAATTTCTATATCCACTTATAACTTACTTATTGACTTACCTATACATAACTAATAGTTTCCCAAGCTCAATCAACATCCACCACAGTGTCCAAGTTCTCCACAGCTGGGAATCTATTTGAGATTTCAAAAAGATACTGCTTGTTACTCTCTTCTTCGTTTAATTTATTGAAATTGAACCTCTCTATATGAAATCTGTGCGTTGTTTGTTTACTCCTTGCCAGTCTTTCTTTAACTTTTCCACCACCAGATAGTGGTCAATATCACAATCTTCTGCCCTGAACAGTCAGATATCAAGTATGCTTGAATGCCGTCTTCTAGCTATCAAAATATTGTCGATTTGATTGTGAGTCTTTCGATCAGAAGATGTCCAAGTAAATTTATGAATGTTAGATATGAGAATATCTTACTTTTGATAATAAATTTTTTTTGATGTGGCAAAGTTTACTACTCTAGTTCCAGTATTATTACTAACTTCGTGTGAACTATCATACCCAATTTTTCGTTTGAAAATTTTTTCCCTACCTGCTTTACTATTGAATCTCTGTGGTATTTAGGGAATTTATCGAGTACATATTCTAGTTTTTCGTAGTACCTGTCCTTCATATCATCAATTTTATCTTATTATGGGGTTAGAACATTCAGAAAAATGATGTCACACTAACGACAGGATGTATGACATCCTGTCACTAACAAACTGTACCCTCCTAACTGTTGATATGATTGTCCTACAAAAAAAAATCTACCTATTTCATGATTCTCACTCCCCTTCCAGAGGAAAATACATGTTCTTCTGGTTCAGTGCCACCTCTGTCCTATCTGACCTCCCGTACTTTCACCAAATATAATTAATATTTTGATATATCTTTCGCAACTGTCAGTACCTGCCATATGCAGATTTCTTACATTCCATATACCAAATCTAATGTCAATTTCCCGAGTTTTAAAATTGAAGAAGAATTGTGACTTGACAGTAAAAAAACTATAAGGATTCTGAAGAAAGCAGTCTTCTGGGCTTTGGCGCCGTGTATATGTGGTGTTAACCGACATTTCGGAGGAACGTATCGCCCCCATCTTCAGGGTTGAAGAAAAAGTATAGGTAAATCTGCAAGCAACGCAGTCTGCGTTACCGTGTCTCACGGTGTTGTCGCTTGCAGATTTACCTATACTTTTTCTTCAACCCTGAAGATGGGGGCGATACGTTCCTCCGAAATGTCGGTTAACACCACATATACACGGCGCCAAAGCCCAGAAGACTGCTTTCTTCATAGTCACCGCCGTGAAAGCCTCAAATCTTATATAAGGATTCTGTTTTCATCACAATAAAAGAGAGAGAAATTCTGAGAATTTTATTATGCTGCGTGTTGTACCTGGGTAAAGTGCTCACGCCTTAAACTGAGCTACAGCGGAGAGGTCTCGGAGGCCAGTAGGCAGTTGCTCTAAGAATGACATTCAGTCAACAGAAGACTGCGTGTTTGTGGTAGAAGAAACATGTTAGAACTATTTAAACTAAGAGCACAACTAATGGTGAAATCCCCCGCCCCTTCAAAAACGTTCAGCGATGCGGATAAGTTCAAGAAGACAAGCAGTGCAAAGAAATAGAAGAGGCACGGGCTGCTCTCAACGCGACCACGCAAAATTTTAGCTGTAAGGCAGGCTTTCATTCGGAGCCCGAGAAAGTCAATGCGAGCAGCGAGTCACGAGCTAAACTTCACTCGGCGCACGGGGCACGATGTGTTGCTCAGACGTGTGAGATTTAACACTTAACAAAATCCAGCGGAAGCATCAATATTTTGTGGAAGATTACGTAGCACATAAAGAATCTGCATGTCTCATGTTACAGAATATGGAAGAGCGTGATGCTAACTTCAAGTGCCTTGTATTCTGTGATGTCACAACATTTCGCATGAATGGGTATGTGAAGGGGCCACAATTGCAATGTATGGGGTTCCGAAAATTTCCCCTTTGTTTTCAACTTGAAAGAGAGAGAGCGTGACAGATTGAGTATCTGGTGTGCAGAAGCATAGGATCTTTCTTTTTTAGAGAAGCATGAATGTACCTGTTCCCACGATGAGTTGAAATTATGCACAGTTCTACAAATTAAGGACCCGAGGCCACAGATCATATCCCAACAAGGCAAAACACCGTTATATTTGTCACAAAATTTCTGGACAGAACAATCCATAAAAGATGCGGTGGAAGAGACGGGTCCAATGCTCATACCCCAAGAAAACCTGATTTTATCTTCCTCTTTGTGTACATAAAGGACCAAGCATACTTAACAAAGTTACTTCTGTACAACATTTTAATCTCATTTAATGTAAATTTTGGTCATGAAACGTAAGGAAAAGACGTGTTACTCATATGTGGAGTTCGGTGTGAACCGGGACTTGAACCGGAACTAGGCTGAGACTCGTGGAGAAAAAGTATCAACAAATATAACAACAAAAACAACGAAGTGCATGAGGGTTCTAAGGTCAGAGTGTACAGTGCAGTGGTCTCCACAAATAATAAGTGTTGCCTGATGGCAGCCCATGTGCGGCCGAAACATGTAGCAAGAATTAAAAATGTACATAATTAATGACATTTTAAATTATAAACAAACACATTTTAGTGAATTAAATATATTTTAGTCTTCCTTAGGAAAGAACTGACTTTTGTTGCATTACAGAAGGAATACTTTACAATTCAAAATGGTGCCGCAATTCAACAGGATGCTGAAATATAATAAAAATAACATTATTTGTTAACATTTTGCTAAAATTATAACAACATAAATTTTAATCGATAAATGTACAACACTTCGCAGTCTGCCATTCGACTGAAACATCAACTTGAAAATAAGCTAGATTAGTTCCCTTAACA